AAGATTCATATGGAACCAGGACGTATGGCCTGTTGTGAAGAATGTGTTCTGCTCCTGAAGCGGGACGAGACCTTCCCAAATCTTCCTAGTCGAAGTGCAATCTCTGAGGCAATGCAAGTTTGTCTCTGCAGTATGCTTGCAAATGGGACATTTGTCATCCATGGTTAAATGCCGCATTTTGCGGCGACTGTTGGTGGATAACTTCTCCTTGGCTGCAAGCCAAACGAAGAACCGAACTCTTTCTGGGCAATGCAGCTTCCATATCTGTTTCCAGAAGGTTGAGTCCTGATGCGCAGCTGACACGCTAAAACACAACCCGGGGTCTAGATCTACTGCCTACTTCGTGTATATTTGTTATCTAGCAAACTAAGTCGATTGATTGTGGTTTTAACTAAAAGTAGTAAGAAAGCATGAAATGGTTCGGTTTTCTAAAGCAAAGGAAGAGTCACTCGGGAATGAGTCCCCCTAGCTCCTTAGTTAGGTCTCAGTTGTAATTACCCTGGGTTGATTTACTGTTGATTGAACTGCGGAAGATCCGACAGTAGCTTGGAATCTCTTAAGCTGACCAAGCCCTCTCAGGCAGGCTAACTGGCTGGCGACTAACCTTTACCGGGATAGACTGCTGAGGCAATAAGCACAGAACTCCACTACTGGAATTGGGTTCCAGTACAAAGCAGTAGATTGATTAACTCTCGTATAACCAATCTACCACTACCAATTGATGAAGCTCTAACAACCTAATCAGATTCTATCTATCTCAAGTTGCAGCAGAAATCAAGAAAAGATGATCAGGCTTTAATTGACTCAATGAATCATGCATCAATCGATTAAAATCAAATAGTATAACAATCCCAAGTCATTACAATCAAGATCCTAACACATGGAACTAGGGTTCTTCATACTCAAGTGAGGGAATGTTCTACTCCATAGAGAGAGAGAGGAAAACAGTAATCAGAGTAGTCATACTCATAAAGATGAGGAAAATCTGCTCGGGGATGATGATCTTCACTCCTATGATGATCTCCAAGCTTGATTGATGAAACCCAGCTCCAAAATCACCTCTAGGATGTGTTCTTCGCACTTTCTCTCTCTAGGGCTCTGTTTTTGCTCCAAAAAGTCGATTCCCTCTCCTTTGGCTCGAAATTGGGTTAAAACCCAGATTTTCCCAACCACACGGCCGTGTGAAATCCCCAGCTGTCCGTGTGGAAGTGCAAAACGTCGCGTTTCACTTAAGTGGCTTCAATTACGCTAAGCGGCCAAAACCACACGGCCGTGTGGAATTTTAGGCGTGTCCGTGTGAGCTCCCTGAACTTTCCACTCGGCCACAAGGGGTCCCATACACGGCCAGTGCGATTTGCCCGTGCAAAGTGGTGCCACACGGCCAAATCACACGGTCGTGTGGGATTTTAGGCGTGCCCGTGTGGAATTTCCAGCTTTTCGTCAAACGTTCCAACTTCGTCCAATGGACCCTGAACTCGTGCCAAAACCTTCTTTCATGTACTAGGACCTGAAATATCACAAACAAGAACAACCTAGCGTGAAATCAGGCTAAAACACGAGAGATGAGACTCAAACGGTACAGGAATGGTGGACAAAAACATGTGTATATATCAAGTCATCAGCAGCTTCTGGACAGCAGACCTGGAAAGTGGATTTGGTGCTAAATAATCCATTTGCAGTGTGTTTCCAAAACATGGTGTCATCATTGCTGGTTAATGGATCAAGGAGTACTGACCGGATCTTGTTGGTGGCTTCAGGTGGAAGGTAACCTTCAAATTCTTCAAGTCTCCATCCGCCTTCCTCGTCCCAATAATCAGCTACTGATTTTCTCTTGACTTCCATAGGCACCTCCATAGTAGTTATATCCAGGAGTGGTACCTGCATTGCCCAAATATCAGTCCAAAATTTCGTTAGTCTTCCATTTTTAACATTGATAGCAGCTCCCTTGCGTAGGAGGTCAACAGTTTGTGCAAAACTGTTCCAGGCGAAGGAACCTCCCATTTTTTTTCCTGAGAAGTTGCAGTCCTTGTCTCTGTCCCCCGTATTTGTTCCTCATCACTTGAGCCCATAGAGCCGAGTCTCCCGGAGCTAGCTTCCAAGCTCCTTTAGCCAGCATTGCTTGGTTAGCAAGCTTTGTCGGTCTAATCCCAACGCCTCCTTGGTCTTTAGGAAGAGTGAGTTTATCCCAGCCAACCGGGTGGAACTTCGTTTGACCTTCCTCTTCTCCCCAAACGAACCGGCGGTTTATCCTGTCAATATTATTGCAAACAGAAGTAGGTAGACGTTCTGTGAACATAGGATATATAGCCATGGAGGAAGAGATCGATTTCACCAGGGTAACCCGAGCAGCTGTTGATAAATGATTAGTCTTCCAGGTTGCCAACTTGTTTTGTATTTTTAGGAGAAGTTGATGGTATCTTTCTTTGGTGATCTTGCCATTGATGGCAGAAATTCCCAGGTAGCGGCCAAGATCGTTGGTGAGGTTTATTCCTGCCCTCGAGCTCAATCTATGGGCCTTATCTCCATGCACGTTGGGAGAAACAAACATAGCTGATTTGTGAAGGTTGACTTTTTGGCTAGAGCTTAAGTAGAAATCCTCCAAGCATGACCGAATAACATCAATATGTCCACCCTCCGCTTCTTCAAACAAATCAAGTTATCAGCAAAAAATAAGTGCGAGAGCTTTGGCCCATCCTTTGAAAGAGGGATAGGCTTCCAAAGCTTTTCCTCGACAACTTGTTCAGTACGATGAGCTAATCTCTCCACAAAGCACAAATGAGGAGGAAAGACGGTCTCCCTGACGAACTCCTCTTGAGGGCCTGATCACAGAGGTGAGCTCTCCATTCCAGTTGATTCTCATCTGATTCTTTTCTACGCATGTCATAATTTTGTTAATCCATGTGCTAGGCAGTCCGATCTCACCCAAAGTGTCCCGCAAGAAGCCCCAGTGGAGACGATCATACGCTTTTTCAAGGTCTATTTTGATAACAATGCCTCCTCGCTTTCCCTTTCCGTTTCTGAGTGAGTGTAATGTTTCTTGTAGCAAGAGGATGTTATCGTTAGTCTGCCTCCCTCTGATAAACCCACTTTGAGTGGGAGCTACTAACTTCGGCATTGGAGGCTTAAGTCTATTAGCCATAGCCTTGGTGATGGCTTTAAGAGTTACATTGTTAAGGCTAATTGGTCTGAAGTGTGCCGGAGTTTCAGGCTGATCAATCTTAGGGATGAGCACAACTATCGAGTCCGTTAATTCCTCCGGGATGCTGCCTGTTTCGAAGAAGTTTATAGCCATCACAGTAAGATTTCTTCCCACCAAAGACTAGAATTTTTGATAAAACACTGCCTGGAATCCATCCAGACCGGGAGCAAACATAGGTTTCATCTCAAATATGGCCTTATGGAAGTCCAAAATAATAAAAAGGTCTAAGAAGCCCCATTAACTCTTCCTTTTGCAGGCGGGGAAGTCTACCCTTCGGCATCAAATCTTCATAAACCCCTCCCTCCTGCGTGTACAAATGAGTGTAAAATTGAAGTACCATGTTCTTGAGGCTCTCTTGAGTGTCTATCCATTCTACATTTTTATTCTGCAGAGATAGGATCTTATTCCTTCTACGCCTTCTTGTAGCTTGTTGATGAAAGAAAGAAGTATTCTGTTCCCCAAGTTTCACCCATTTTTCATTGGCCCGCTGAAACCAGAACACTTCTTCTTGGGCGAGGATCAGATCCAATTCCTTTTCTAATTTAACCTGCAGCTACAGCAAACCAGGATAGAAAGTATTAGCAAGTCTCTCTGTAACTCCTTGTAGTCTAGCAATTAATCTCCTTTTTTCCCGATGAGTGGAGCCAAACACATCCTTTTTCCATTGCTGGAGCTTGTCCGCCATGTCCTTTAGGGAGCTGGGCAGAGGCGCTTCCGTATCCCAATTCTTGTCAAGAAATTCGCCCAGCTGAGGATGAAGCAGCCACGCTGCTTCAAAGCGAAACTTGCTCGAGTTTACCGCTTCCTGCTGTCCTGCAAAGCTAGTAAGGATAGGAACATGATCTGAGTGCAACTTAGAGAGGTGCTGCACCTCAGTGTTGGGAAAATTCAAAAACCAGCTATCGTTGCATAGGGTTCTGTCTATTCGGCTGGCTTTGCGAGTTGCTACTGAATCTCCCCTGAACCAAGTAAAACGAGGCCCTAAAAGCCCCAGGTCAGTTGATAGACCGTTAATTGCACATGTTTTTACCCCTATTCTTACACCGTTTGAGATGTGGATTCTCGTGTTTTAGCATCTTTGAATATCTCCCATTGAGCTAACTCTTGATTTCTCATCCGGTGAGGAGATGGCATTAAAGTCCCCCGTAACTAACCAAGGGAGCCCCTCGATTTTGCTGAATTGAATGAGTTGTTGCCAAAGGAGGGAATGGAACTTGTAGTTGGGGCTTCCATAGACGCTCGTTAAGAACCAGTCTAGATGATTGGATTTCGAAATTCTGACAGTAAGGTGCTGCATACTCACATCAATGGGCGTCACTTGAAAATCATCCGACTTCCAAGCAAGCCAGATCCCTCCTGATCTTCCAGTAACGTCCACACGAATGACCTCGTCATAACCCAGCTTACCGCAAACCGTATTGCCGCGATCCCCGCTAATTTGAGGCTAAAGGATGATCAAGAAGTCGGATTTATGCACATCCTTAAGCAGACAAATGGCTCGAATGAATTCCCCCCCCCCCCCCCCCCCCGGCACCACAAACATTCCAAGACAAGATTTTGAAATTAGTTTGATAAGTCATGAAAAATAAAAAGATTGAAAGAAAGAAGAAGAGGAAGAAGGAATTAGATGGAGCGCGGCTGCTCGACTGAGTTGGGCGTTGATGCTTCCGGGTCTTTGTCGCTAAGTGGAGTGCTTGCAGCCTCAACTGCAGCGGACTCCACCATTGCTTCATCCTCCGCCCTCTTCTTGGATAAGCTGCAGTGTGATCGTTCTTCTTATGAGCTGTAACACAAAATTCTTCTATCGCCTGCAGTGAGATTGGTAAAGAGGTTGGAATTTGCTTCGACTGCGGTCTTTCTTCCCGGGGCTGCGAATCTGGAGCGTCTTCTTAGTAGCCTTGAGGTTAACTCCTTTGGGTTGAGGCGTTTGATCTGCCACTTTTCTCCTATAGTGATGTCGAACAGAGGATTCTCTCTGATTGGGGTCTCTATTTTCCTTCTGTTGGAGCTGCAGATCGGGGACATTCAGGATCTGGATTTTAGTCTTGTTTGGGCCAGCAATAACTTGTGATTGCAGAGTGGGTTGTTGAGGAGGTGGTTGGGCTTCTTCCATACTGAAATCCATGGGCTCTTTGCTGGATGAAGCTTCTTTCGTATTAAGCCCAATAGGACGCCATTCTGTAGAAGTAATCGTTGCTCTATCATCCCCAGTCTGCTTAGAATCCAACCCTTTCCCCTTTTGATTTCCTTGCTTACCTTGTTTGGCCCCCTTCTGCTGCTCTTGCTTTCCTTTAATTTCCCCAATTGTGATTGATTGTTCGACATTGCTCTTTCCTTTCGCAGGATTGCCATCTCTGAATGATTCTTGCCTCTTTCCTTTGTTTGTACCCGGATTTGGCACTGGCGTAGCTGTGGGTTTCCTATTTTGGCGACGAGTTTTGCGGACGACCTGCATCCATGGCCCGTAGCCTGCTAGTGTTTCCGATGTCTCAGCCGCCGGCGAGCTGATGATTTGTTCAGCTTGCGTTGTTGGAGCTAGGAGAAGTGCTGGTCTCTTCGTGGGGCAGTCTCTCTTTGTATGTCCAATCCTTCCGCATTGATAACATATAGTCGGAATGTTCTCATACAATACTTGTTGCCAGGCACCATCAAGCCGGATTCGAGTAGAGAGGGGCTTGGTCATGTCCAGATCAATGGCGATGTGAGCAAATTTACCCCTTTCTAGGTTCTCGGTGTGATAGTCGAGTTTGACAGTACGTCCCACCAAATTTCCAATAGCAAATAAAACCTCTCTATGATAGTAGTGAACCGGCAGTTCCGGGAACTGAACCTTTTTTTTTTCCGGAGAAAGGAACTGAACCCAAGTAACAACTGATCTATGCGGTTTATCTGAAGTACGGAATGAGGGCGACCATTGATGAACCACCAAATAGTGGTCGAGAATGATCCATGATCCACCTGTAAGGCCCCTCAAGTAGTCTTGATCGTCGCCAAAGGTTGCTAAGAATGTGTCGTTGCTCAAATCTAATATTTCCAGAGAGCCTACCGGTTTCCACTTCCATCGTAGTTGGGAGCATAAATAGGAGTAAGAGATGGAACGGCCAAGCAGTCGCACGATAAGAGTTTTCTTCCAGGGTTGACACAGCTTCTCTTTGAACTTTCCCGATAGTCTCAGTTCTGGCTCCCCTTGAAATAAACCTGCCTCGATGTCTCCTCCTCCTAGGCTCCTCTGAAGGTCCACTGAGACGCTTTTCTTGAAGATTCTTGATTAATACCTGCAAGAGCCGCCTTGAAATCAAGAGATCCTGCATTAGATCCGACAGCAACATCATTTTTGTCCTCTGTTGCGGTTGAGGAGATATCCGGAGGTCGCCCTGAGAATTCTAGAGTCGCCGCCGGCTGAGAAGGGGAGGGGAGGGCGCTCAGAGAATTCGGGAGCATCTTAGAGGTCCCTTATTTGGTCTAGAAGTTTTTGATTCTTGAGCATACATGTCCGATGTTTTCACATTGATTACAATTTACCAAATTGCTCAATGCCTTCCGCCGGCCAAAGTGCCGAGCTATAAGCTAGTATAGTACAGTGTGCGCTCCCATTTCCAGCTCTTGGAACATGAGCGCAATTGATCGCTCATACCCATTCTCCACCATCGTCGACAAGAGAAGTTAAAATGAGCAGTACCGCAGTTCCGGCGGACAGTCGCAGCAGAGCCGAGCCGCCGCTCGAGGACCGGACACGGATACATCATCATAGCCTCGACATTCTCCGGTATCTCTGTGAATGCTATTGACCTTTCGTCAACCCCTTAGCTCTCTTCCTCTGGGGCGGTTATCTCAAGGAGAAATCACTGTTCGGAAATTAGTCTTCAAGCTCAGATTTACGGTGATTTCAATCATTTGAATATGAATGACCATGGCTGCAGTACTGCGGTTTGAGTACTCTGGTGTGCCGTGGCCTCTTCCGTCCATTCACAACAATCATAAATCTGCTTCTTCTCTCTCGTTCAGGTTCAGAGTCGTTCGTGGTTACGAGGTATGTGGTTTTATATATCTCTTGTCAATTGGAGATCGATTCCTTTTCTTATATTGCTGCAACGCGGGCTTTCAGGTCTTCTGTGCGCTACTGCTTTTGCTAGTACCCAAAGAAAAAGAGATAGAGTGAAGCTTGTAGGAAATTTGTTGATTGATCAATTTTGGGTTTTGCTGCTTCATTGTTGCCTGTTGGATGGTCTGGTTTTTATAGGTTGCTTTCTTTCTGGTTTGGTAAGCTTACGAGGTTTTTAATTCGTCTTTCTTTTGGACCTGATGATGTAATCTGAACCTAATTTGGGAAAGGTCATTATGATGCGTTCAGGAAACAAGCCAAATGGGGAGGGATTGACATTGAATGTTGGCCAACGCCAGAAACTAGTCCACTGTGGGTCTCAATGTCAATGGAGTTTTAAACTCTGACTAGATGAAAGCATTAGATCCAACTCATTAATCATAGAACGGATGAACATTTGAGGACTGATTATCCCAAGAGGGTTGTTGTCATGATAGATACATCCAAGATGGCGAGTGTCTTTAGGTCCCTATTATCAGCCTCGATGTGAAGATGTTGTTTCTGTTATAGCGGAGCAGTTTCAGAAAATGTCCCAAGGATTGTGGAACTTGATTAAATAGCCAAACCTCTAACTACTTGCAGTTCAACATATTTAGGCGTTGTAAGATTTTAGGTAACCTTTGTGTATGACTCAAATAATGAAGAGGGAGAGGGAAGAAACTTATAAGAAGCTAAGCAGTTAGAACTTAGAAGGTGAGTGGTTTTCCTTAGGTCGTGAGTAGTGATTTTTTAATGTGATTATTAATCCTACTGAGGCCTCTAATCTAGTGTCTATATCAAATAGTATGAAGGGATTTCGGATTTGCTTTGAAGATGTGGAAGTTGTCGATCATCGGGCAACGGGGCTGTTTCTCTCCTGGTTTAATCAGCAACAGGGCTAGACTACCAGTTTATTCCATAATGCGATGAAGATTCATGCAGCTCGACTGAAAACACGGAAATTGATTTTTGACTCCGGTGAGATTGTTACAGATGTTGAGGAAAGAGCAAATGAGGCTATCCGTTTTTACCAGCAACTGTTTGGAACTGTGAATCAGGAAGTTCAGCCAAACAGAGCTCTCATAGAATTGTTGTTGAATACTAAACTTACTCTGGAAGATGGGAATTCTCTTTATGGAACGGTTCTTGCTATGGAAGTGAAGGAGGAATTTGCTGTGGATCCAAGTAAAGCCCCTGTTCCCGATGGCTGGACAGTGAGATTTTATCTGAAGAGCTGGTAGAGCTGATACAGAGTATTATGAGGGAAGATGAACATTCAACTCTACCGCTTTCTAGCATCGCTGGTAATTCTCTATAGGGTGAAATCTCTGATGAATGTATTTCTTGAGATTTAAGAAGTGAAGCAAGAGATCATTTGCTTTTCTGCTGCCATTTTTAGAATAGCATTGTATCTGCTGTCTTCAGAGGTATTGTGCCAAATTGTCCAAGTGATTGGAATGGAGTATTGGCTGTATACTTCATCATGGTTTTCCACCCAGCCTCACTGATTCCTCCATCTCATTCCAGTAGATTCACTAATCTGTATTCTCACAGCATTCTCTTCAGCTTTTGTGTTAAGCTCGGTCATTGCGGCTTTGCTGGCTAGTGAATGTGACCTAGTGGGAGGAGCTCGGTCATTGATAGCTCACTACATTTTTCAAGCTTCTATCAGTTGAATTCAGTCCAGAATTGAACTCTCTGTTAATTGAACATTTTGCTTCTGAAGTTGTGCAAGTTTATATTAACAAGCTAACTGTATCTAGAATCAGCTGCTTTTGGACTTTTGAATATTTTAATATGATTGTGTTTTGGGAAAATTGCCAGAAAAGTGCTGTTTGCTATGAGAGGTAGGGTAACTGTTCTTTGAGGAGAATGTATGATGAGGTGGGCCTGGTAGTATGCACAGTTTGTGAGTTTTGAGTGACTATGGTGAATGGGTTGATTTGTATCAGTGAATGCAAGTATGTCCTTAGGATTCTCCATTCCGCCGTGAAACTGAAGTTCAGGCTAGAGATATCTTGCATTGCTTTATCTTTGATGATACAGGTTGGTCGGTTTATGCTAATAATTAGTCTCCTTTCATTTCCTGGGGACTAGTAGGTTCTCAGTTGGAGAGCATTATTCCTGGTATAATCCTTCCCGGCTTGGTTTTACGCATCAAATACATCACCAGAGCACTTCCTTGATTGAGGTCAGGTGAGCATCCTCATTATTGATTAATATTGTTTGCTAGCTTCTGAAATCTTGCAACTTTTTGTTCACAAGGTTAACTGAAAGTGTGATGATTCGGAGGGTCAGAAATGTGTTATGCCTGTTACTATATTATGCTTGGCCTATTTCCCGTTTTGCATCGGTAGTTGGTGTTAGAAATGTGTATTTCATAGATTTGATGTGTTATTTTAATTTTTTAGAAATCTGTCAAGCAATAGCTTTTCTAGGACTGTACCAACTTCTGTTGGAGATCTAGAGTACCTTACGATTTTGCAAGCACTTTAGACTTAGTGGTAGTCCCTTACTGTTATCTTGGAATTGCATCTAAACTTAGATTTCACCTTTAGGAACTTGAGCAAGAACCATCTTGATGGACTTTTTTCAGCTGAATTCGGTAACCTTCGCATCTTAGTTTAGCAGAACATTTAAAGAGCATGCGATCCAATTGGCTGGATTTATACAGGTAACAACATTTGAACTGCTATTATACCTATGTATCATCAGTTTTTATTATATACTTCTTTTAATTCTGAGTTTGACTTGGTTTCAGTCTATTTAGAAGAATGCATTGCTCTTCAGGGGATGCTTGAAAGGGCCAAACTAGGCCATGGTTTCACAGAAGGCGAGCTGTTGCTGAACAAGAGCAACATAGACCACGGAGGCAAGCGAGAATGATCACTAATATAACACCGTTCATATCAAAGTTGTCCGAACTGGAACTTGTTGATTCGTTCAATGCCATTCAGGGAATGCCACCAATTTATGTTCTTTAAATCAGGAGCTGACATTACTCTTTTTGCTGTTTTTTTATGTATCCTTCCTGCCTTGTACAATGAGTTCTGGACAGTTTTTGTTCTTTCAATGAATTCTCCATTTCAACTGTCGAAGTAATATTTTGCTTGTTAGAAGCTGTGGACATTTAAGCAGCGATGTTAAGAATGAATTAATCCATTGGTAGAATGCAGTTAGGCAAGAACCTATCATTTTATGTTAGTGATGATCACTGATAGCTGTTTACAGAATGTCCTGATTATCAGTTGCTGTCTCTTTGTAGTGATTTCCCGCAGCGGTCGTTGACGAACTGAATTCCTGAATGAATTGGAACCTCTTGATATAAGCTTCGTTGTTGCAATCCAGAGGGCTTTCGAGGGGTGTGTTTGAGCTTGTTTACTAGGTATAGCCGAGGAGGAATTCCTTTCTGAGTTACCTGTAGAAATGTGGTTCTCTTTTGTTTGGGAAATTGCTCGAACCAACAACTATACATATTTGCTGTCAGAAAGGCACTCCATCACCATAACACAATGCAAAAATATGGATACATTTATATTAATTTGACAGAGTAGGAAGTCCTGCCGCGAAAAGCGAACCAAATAACTAGTCAATATGAATAAGGATAACAAGACTAGCTTTTCTTTAATTACAAGCAATTAAGCACTGCATCAAACTAAAATCAGAACAGACCCACCATATTCAAGTACTAACTCTGACAAACTGACTTTTATTCCCTTAGCTCTAGCTAGTCATACAATTAGCATTTCCTAAGAAGTAGCATTCCGACTAAAACACTATCAGGTGGCGGCTGGTGCTGCGATCTCCAAACCCTGACGGCAAAGCGGACAGGTCAGCTGACCTGTCCGCGGTCTCTGTACTACCCAACCTGCCACACAAGCACGGTGAAACACGTGCTGGCAGGTGGGGAAGACGAAGACCGTCTCCGACTGCCCGAACTGCTCCAAGCAGATCGGGCAGTCCGGGCTCGCTCTGGAGCCCATCGCCACGTCGGCGAACCTCCTCTCCTCAGAGAAGGACACCAGCTCAAGCTCTGCTGCGACCCCTGCAGGGTCCGGGTTCAGGTTCCCGCCCTGAACCTGAACCTGCTGCTGCTGCCGTAAGAAAAAGTGGTAGACAAGCCAGCACCCTAGGCCCAAAACGACGACACACGCGAAGACGATCAGGAAGATCAGCGGTCCTGAAAGACCTGACGCTATGTCAGAGTGCCGGATTTGCGAATCCGGACTCACAGCGGCATCAGACATCTTTCGTGAAAAACAGAGAATAAAGGAGCTCGCAGGAAAAGAAAAGAGGAAGAAGAGGAAGAAGAAGAGGAAGAACAGCGAAGAATGTCTGTTTCGTAAATGCTGTCTGTTCCTTTCAAAACAACTCCGATGGCAAATTTGCTCTCTGTTCTGCCACTTTTACTTAACCATATTAAGCTCCTGTCCCACAGAAACATATGTATTGGTTCTCTTTGTTTTGTAGGAGGCGGGAATTCTACGGGACGGTCAACAATCAACCGGCTCACGTGGTCGATGAGGAGTGACTTACTGTTTACAGGATAGAGTAATAAAATGGGTAATTATAATAAACAGTCACAAATCTTTCCACTCAGTACGAAATAATTACAAATTTTTAACTTATAACAAATCGGTAACAAAATTATAAAACGCATGTCAAAACGACCATTCCATCATTCTCCATCCAAATTTCTGCTAAATTTATCTAGTAAACATTACACATCATCAAAACAATAATAAACAAACAAATCTAATTTAATATTTGAAGCCAACCGAGACTCAGACCGATGAAATATTGGTCAAACACTTGAAGAACCCGTTCGACTCCTTTCCTCTCTCCCTCATTCTCCACCTGTGACACCGTTCTCCTCCGTCGCTCTCTCCTTCGGTTCCCCTGCCTCCACCGCCGAGCAATCTCAACATCATCAACCAATAGCCCGACTTCATCTTGTATCTGCTGCTGTAACACAAACACAGTCATTTCAAACCAAAGGTTCATTATTACAATAGCAGACTTCCCGTAGATGCAACAGGGGACTTGATAGAAAAACCTGGCCTTCGCCTAAGAGAACTCAGAACCCCAGCTAGTTCCAAGACTCTCTTAGCTGTAAAATTCTGGAAACAATCCTGCAACTAAAGATCTGTAGTAATCACAAGCGGGAAGCAAATGCCATCTCATCTCCATTCTCTGTTTTAGGATTCCCTTTTCCAAACCATGGCGATACCATCACTTTAAAGCAACAGACTGTAAAAAGACATAGTATAGTAGGGAGAAGCGATTAATCATTTCAAAATCTATTTGCTTCCAAGTTCCAATTAAGTGGTGGATTAATTGGAACTATTTGCTTCCAAGTTCAAAATCTATTTCAAAATCATTTCAAAATCTATTTGCTTCCAAGTTCCAATTAAAGCAACAGACTGTAAAAATCTTTTGCTCGTGTCCTAGTAATCAATCAGCAAGTTGTTATCGCGTATTGATAATGGCTTCCTTACTGGGTTCTCGTTGGATCTTGGCTTTCACAGCGGCTCTCTTCGCCATGGAGCTCTGTAATTCTCATTTCAGATCTGCACTGATCCATCTTCCGGCTGCAAAGGGAATCCGCCGTCGGAGTTCCTTTGATCTGAAGCCCTCGGAAAATTTTGCTCGACGAATGGACCAAATGCTTCTGCAATGAGTTACAATCCAGCTCCCCCTTCCAAACTAGTACTGGCAGCTCCGATTTCAACTTCTCCAGAGAATTCAGAAAAAGCTTGAACAACCTTTTTCTGCCACCTGGCGAGATGAATGAGAAACAGAGCCAAATAATTCCTTTATTTTCACCCAAATTTTGATTTTTTAATGGGACCCACCATTTCTGCCACCTGACCCACTGCTTCATCCTACGTGGCGTCATTGGCGTGCACAGTCAGGAAGTTAACAGAAGTTAATAACGCCGTTATAACTTTTCGGACAAAAGTGCAAACGTTTTGTTATCTGTGAGACTGACTGTGAACTACATCTTACAGGTAGAATTCAGTATTCTACCGTGGCCTACTACTTGTTCCTTTCAAAACAACTCCGATGGCAAATTTGCTCTCTGTTCTGACACTTTTACTTACCAATCTGTACCCGCGCGGTCCCCAATCAACCGGCTATGTCGGTTTTCTTCATTCTTTTGCTTTCTTTGTACATTTATTGTCGTTATTCTATGGAAATAATCAAAAGCCATAAACCATGTTCTCATGGTTTAAATGATTATGCCATTGTTACTTTGTTTTCATTAGTTTATTTCTCTGCTTCAAATATTTATAGAGGTGAGTGATTTAGTGGTTTACTAAGAAAGCAATTAAATCTATACAATAAATAAAAGTCAAATGAGAAAACTTGAAGTCACATTTCAAATTTCCTGCATCTAGAGTGAAAATAGGAAGGACATTTTGGTCTTCATAATTACTTTTTTTTATTCATTAAAAAGACACATACTAGGATTTGAATCATGAGAAAAGCAAAAATCATAACCAATCACACTAATTACATCTGTTGCATCTTTTTAAATTAAAAACATATAATCGCAGAGAGGAAAAAACCCTTCCCCCATTTCAAATTCCCTGCTCCAGGAGCGTTTGTAGGAAGGGTAGAATAGGGAGTGTCAATTTTTTTCTTTTTTCTCTGTGGAACGGGCCAACTTACCGTACACATGCGGATTTAAACGGGTCCAGGAGTGTCAATTTTTTTCTTTAAGTCCTTTTATTTCTCCGTGGTGGTAAAATATATATGAAAAGGCAAAAACAATACTCATTTTTATTGCTAAAAATAAAAAAATTAATAAACTAATGCATGGATTCTAATGGGCTAACCGCTAGTCATAAAATAAAAGAGTTGAATGGGCCTGACCTACACGGGATTTGCCCATCAAGTAAAAAAAATGAACATCATGAGTTTGCCATTCTAAAACAAGTTATTTTCTCTAGCATAATATATATTATGCTATTATTTTATATCTTAGTGGCTAAAATATAATTTATTTTAAAGTTATTCAATGGTTCAACCTCGACCAACCCAATTAGTCCAATTTTTATCATTTCAAATATATATTATGTAATTATTTGATATCATAATGATTAAATTGTAGTGTATATTATAGGGAATCGTTTGGTATTTGTTAGTAAAAAACTAAACAGAAAGATCTATTTGGTTATTTTTAACATTAAAACGAACCTAAACATTTTCAGTTTCCTTTCGAAATTCTATAGTTTTATTCCCGAATCAGTGATGTGAAAATGGCGAATTGCAGTCATATCTTTTCTTTCATTATTTTTTATTTTCAAAAAGAAAGTTTAAAAGTAAAGAATAATTAGAGTTTGGCATGAGTCGGTCAAACAGGCTGAATTTCAAGTTTTAGCCCGTTTTGATCAAGTCTAATTTATAATCACATGGTTCCCTGATACCCGATAAAAATCTCAATCCAAACCAGTTTGGCAAGTGAGTCCGTGTTTACCATCATTTTCTAGGGATACAGGAATGGTGGTTCCTATCCCAAATCGTGTTGTTCATTCTTGATTTCTTTAGATTTTATCATGGCTTGGCAAAAAACCAGAAAGCACAATGATGACAATATGGAAGTTTTATAAAGCAAATTAGTTGACCAACGGGCCGAGTAAAAGCCAGCAACGATTGTGAGATGCTCATTTCCCGAACACCGGCGGGATAGGCAATTTTTTATTCGATTTTCTCGAATTCGGTTTCTATAAAATTTACTCCACCTCATCATATTACCAGAAACAATATTGTTTCACAAGGAACATGTACTTGATATTGGATCATAAGGCTGATTTTTGATTCGTTGTATCATTCATGTCTCTTTCCTATTAAAATTCACTATTTTTATCACGTGTTTCCAAAAAAAACTATACAACAATAAGCTTACACCCCATTACATTATCAAATTTCATACCTCACCTTCCTCCGGCCAAATGGCCGGGGCCCACGCTAGTATTAAATATGGTGGGTGAGTGTGTGTCATTAATCCGAAAAATTACTTGATATATTTTGATGCTAATTTATATTTATAATAACACACCTCTCTTTTATAATGTCAATCATAATTTATTCATTTAATTACCTTTCATAAATTTTGTTTAACTTACAATATAAATTATACATTGATTATTTAGAATATATAATAAGTACAAAAAAAATATT